GAGGAGCAGGCCTGAGGGAAAGTAAAGGCTGGGAAAGAATAGTCCTTTCCAAAAGACTTTTCAAAATGTTCATTAAAATAGAAAAGGTTAGGCCAGGCCTGGTGGCTCACACCTGTCATCTCAACAGTTTGGGAGACTGAGGAAGGAGGGATCACTTGAGGCTAGAAGTTTGAGACCAGCCTGGGCAACACGGCAAGACCCCGGTCTCTACAGAAATTTTTTTTTTAAGTTTTTTTTTTTTTTTTAAAGATCCAAACCAAATGTTATAAATCAGCAAGTGAAAGGGCAGGTTAGAGAGCAGGTTGTACACATAATCCCAATTTTATAAAATAAATACATTCCAGCTTGTATCATACAGTGGGAGCTAATGAATGCTTTATCCTCTGTGTGAGGACTTGTAAGTATATTTGTGGCAGGTTTTCACACAATGTAAATCGTGTGAGGTTCTTTGAAAATTGGAGGAGCAGAGTTCATGGCACAGAAAGACGTCTTGCACTTGCTAGTCCTCTGTCTGGAAAGGTCATCCCCAGATGTCTTCATGCCTTGCTTTTTCCAGTGCCATGTGCCCAAAAGGCCCTCTACGCCATCCTTTCTCGGCCAGCACCTCCATCAGGCTCTCTTTCCTATAATACTTGAATCTTTCTCATAGCCCTTATCACTACTGACATATTGCATATCCATTTGTTGTATTTTATTTGTTCGTAAAAGTAGACCTTTGTTCTTCTTGACTGTTGTGTCCTCAGTGTCTAAGGCCGGGCACACAGGTAGGGGCTCAATAAATCTGTTGAATGACTAAAATGTAACAAAGGTGCCCATTCTTCTCTCCCCAGCTCTGAGTGCCTGAAGTTGAAGTACAAGCCCTGCCCAAGCCCATGAAGCCTCCAGAGGTCCCCTAAGAGCTCCAAGCAGCTTTCAAACTTTTTTGACCTCATAAAGAAATACATTCATTCTCCAGGGTGCATATATATATGTATATTTAGGCCAAAGACAAAATTACAACAAATGTAGTTAAATTATCTTGTTGGCTTTTATTAGCACTTTTAGAATCAGGAAACATGTCATTCTGTAAAACCATGTTCCAATAAGCTGAGCAGAGGAGATGGGCTTTATAGGTAGAAAAGATCTGAGAAAAACAGGAATAAGGAACAAAAAGAGGATTGCTCATTTCAAAGTTACTTTCTTTTTAGGGTTAAAACAGAGAGGACTTCCTTATCATGCCAGCTAAATCTGTAGAGTTTGGGACTTTTAATATGCTCTCTCTTTCTCTTTTTCTCTTCTGATTTCATGGAAGTTCAGATAAACAACTTAGTTTTGGTTTGGTGAAGTGGAAATTTAGCATGAGTGACTCCCTTTTGTTTTGGTCTGGTCTGGTGGGGCCTAGTATGGAGCCCAGTCCAAAACAATGGCTTCCCATTCATTTTGTTTAACTATATATATGTAACTGAAACAATAACAAAAACCTTACTAAGTGTATGTTTTCTGTTTCCTTCCTTCCTTATTTTCTTTCCTTCTTCTCTCACTCTGTCGCCCACCTCCCAGGCTGGAGTGCAGTGGTACAGTCTTGGCTCACTGCAACCTCCGCCTCATGGGTTCAAGTGATTCTCCTGCCTCAGCCTCCCAAGTAGCTGGGACTACAGGTGCATGCCATCAAATCTGGCTAATTTTTGTATTTATAGTAGAGATAGAGTTTCACCATATTGGCCAGGCTGATCTCAAACTCCTGACCTCAGGTGATCCACCCGCCTCAGCCTCCCAAAATGCTGAGATTACAGGCATGAGCCACTGTGCCCAGCCTTTTCTTTCTTTTTTTAAAAGATGCTGATCTCCACCCCTTGAATTTGTCAACATGCCATGTAATAAAGGGCTGCCACTGCCTCAGGGCAGTGTTTCTAGGGGCAATCAAGGGGTTCCTTTGCATATTAGTCAAGGGATGATTGCCATAAATGCAGCTTCTTAGCTTCACCCCAGACTTAATGGTTGAAAATCTTACTGAAAAGTGTGCGTGTTTTACAACTCCTTCTCTTTCCCCTCTTGACCATCCCCTGTCCTCCAATGATTCTGAAGTCTGATAAAGATTAACAGCCACAGCAGGGGAGTTTGCGTATGCCAGACATGTGTACTGCAGGCTTGATGAACAGATAGGGAAAGGGCAATTCTCCAGTTCCAGTCCAACTTGGCTCATAAATGGTGAAACAGATGAACCTGACTTAATAAAAGTAAATCCACTCCCACCTTAGCCCTTTGCATTTGCTGATGCCTCTGCCGGAAAGCAACTCTGGTGATACAGGGGCTGTTTTCCAGATTCTGGACCTGGTAGGGCCAATGACTTCTCTAGGGCCACACCCAGTGAAGCCTCCCAGCCACCCCGCCCCAGCCCCACCTTTCCCTAAGGATTTTAACCCTTGTTCCTCCCCCTGCCCTGCACAGTCTCTTTTCTTTTTTTGTTGTTTTTCTTTTTCTTTTTTTTTTGAGACAGACCCTCCCTCTGTTGCCCAGGCTGGAGTGCAGTGAAACAATGTCAGTTCACTGCAACCTCTGCCTCTTGGGTTTAAGCGATTTTCGTGCCTCAGCCTCCCTGGTAGCTAGGGTTATAGGCGTGTGCCACCACCCCCAGCTAATTTTTGTGTTTTTAGGAGAGATGGGGTTTTACCATGTTGGCCAGGCTGGTCTTGAACTCCTCAAGTGATCCTCCTGCCTCAGCCTTCCAAAGTGCTGGGCTTACAGGCGTGAGCCACCGCTCCCGGCCACGTAACCTCTTTACTTGTTAGCCTTCACACAAAAAGTACCTCGTGTTTTCTTTGTTTTCACCCTAAGGTTTAATGGTTCCCCACCCCCAGTCCTTAGAAGGAACAAATTCTAACCACAATCTCTAATTACCGTGGCCTATTTCCCTCCCCACCCCCAGGGGAGGGTAGATGCTGTTATGAGGCTGTCACCCTCTCACTGGGATGCACTGGAAACTTCTTTTGATGCCAGGAAAGCAGCACCCCCATCACCAAAAAACCTCACACAGTTTACATTCTGAAACCTGCTACAAGTATATTTACAGATCTTCACACATATAATAACACTTATTATCCCGTAGTGTATATCAGACACCCAGACTAAACACTTTGCTGACAAGATCTCATTTCATTCTTGAAGTAGCCCTCTAAGGTAGATAGTATGATTATCACCTCTATTGCAGAGATAAGAAAACAGACACAGAAGATGTAAGTAACCTGACCAAGATCCCATAGCTGTAAGCCACATAGCTGGGATGAACCAATGACTGTATTTCACTCTGTGTCCTCTCTAGTCACATGGTGTAATATTTATCTATCTGGGGTGACAGTGTGTCCCCATTGGATGATGACACTACTCTGTGCTGCTCTGGGTAGCTCTGGGGCTGTTAGCTGTCCTTACCCCTCAGGTGTTAAAGCAGTAGCGGCTGAGAAGGAAAGGGTTCTATCTCCTGTGTGTAGCCATTGCTTAGAGAAGCTTCAGAGTAGAGGTGCTAGAGCCCCCGTGAGCCATGGGATGTAATGTTTCTCTTTCAGTTTAGCTACTGCCTGTGTTCAGTTCTGATGCCCTCAGAATACTCTCTGACACCTGAAGGCCTGGGGCCTTCCCCCTTTGAGAGAGTGCCCAGCTTTCTGCCAAGACCCCTAAGAAAGAATTTGAGGTTGACAGCCAGGTGCAGAGGTTCATATCTGTAATCCCAGCACTTTGGGAGGCTGAGGAGGGAGGATGGCGTGAGCCCAGGAGTTCGAGATCAGCCTGGGCCACATGGCAAAACCCCGTCTTTATAAAAATTACAAAATTTAGCTGGGTGTGGTGGCACGTGCTGTAGTCTCAGCTACTCAAGAGGCTGAGGTGGGAGGATCGCTTGAGCTGGGCAGGTCGGGGCTGCAATGAGCTATGATTGCACCACTGCACTCCAGCCAGGGTGACACAGTGAGACCCTATCTCAAAAAAACAAACAAACAAACAAACAAAAAAAAAAAAAAAAAACAGAAAAAAAAAAAAGAATTTGGAGTTGGAGAGCAGTGTTCTTCTTGTATGCCCAGACAGATTCGACTAGATACCCAGGAGAAGGCTCAATCTGGGCTCAGACTATTATATCAGATCCTGGGGGGAAAAGCCCTAAACAGCTCAGGTACTTGTTAGCAGTTTTTCTTTCTGGGGTGGGGGTAGGTGGATTTTTCTTCCACATGATTATTTGGATATTTTGTTTTCTTCAAAATAAAAATGCATTACTTTTTTCAATGCTAATTTAAAAAGAAAACTCAAATATTCAAATTCAAAAAGTTTGGATGCAAATATTTTGGGAAAATCAGCCTAACACAGATGTTTTTCACTGGGTCTCAATGTTCAATTTAAAAAAAATTATTAATTATAGGAACCTTAAGTCACACTGCCTAGGTTCCAATCTGATGGCTACCAATTAGTAACTGCGACTCTTGGCAAGCCACTTAACTTCCATAAAAATGGGATCCTAATAGTACTTTCCTCGCACTGTTAGTAGACACTTAGTGATTGCAGCTGCTGTGTTCCAGGTATTGTTTTACATACTTAGTGCATTTACTCTTCAGCCGTCTGGGAGGCAGGTACTCTAAACTCATTTTACAGCTGGGGTTCCCACCCAGTGAGCCCCCAAATGGGATGTGAGCCCAGGCAGTTTGTCACCAGAGGCTTGCTTTAAGCTACACATCTAAAGCTGCCTCTCAAAAAGGGCAGTAGTCAGGATTTCATAACAGAACGCTTGAAAAGCGCTCAGCAGAAGCCTGACGCTTGATAAGCGCTCAATAAAGTTTCCTACGGTCACAGTAATATTTGGAGTTTTATGTTTGTTATAGAATAAATACGCATACAATCGCGATTACATTCAGCAGGGAATTTAAAGAGACCCGCTGCCCCGGGCGGGGTGGGAGCGCGGGTGGGGTGGGAGGAGGCGCAGCGGCGGGGCGCGCGGGCGCACCGGGAGGGCCGGGGGCGGGGTCAGCTAGGCCCCGCCCACCACCACCTGCGACAGGTGGAGCGCGCGGCGCGGGCGCACGGCCATGTCCTCCGAGGGCACGGAGCCGGGGCCGGGGTCCGGGCCCGGACCGGGGCCTGAGCCGGGGCCACTTTGTCCCGATCACGGCCAGGCTCTGAGCTGGTTCTGTGGCTCCGAGCGACGTCCCGTTTGCGCTGCCTGCACGGGTCTGGGCGGCCGCTGCCGGGGGCACCGCATCCGCCGGGCGGAGGAGCGCGCCGAGGAGCTGCGGGTGAGCGGGCGTGGGCGCCGGAAGGCGAGGGCTCCGGAGGGACCCAGAGCGCCTGGCAGGACCGGGCAGGGACTGGGGAGCCTGGGGCCGGGCGGACTCGACAGCGGGTCCCGGAGCCCAGGCTTCTCGGTGGCTTTGGCTATAGGACTAGGCGGTTAAGGGTGTGGCCTCTGAAGTCAGGCTGGCCTGAGTTCGAATCCACTCCCTGTGAGTCACGTAACTCTCTGAGCCTCAGTGTCTTCATCTGTAGTTTGGGGACAGCAACAATAATAATAGCGCATATTTATTAGAGTTGTGAGATATAAATAAGATAGTGGGTAAAATGCTTAGCGATTAGGGGATCCAGGCTCCCCAGCCCCCTTCCATTGTTCTGTTGTGGGGAGCTGGGGCTGGCGTGGGACAATGAAAGACTCAGCTGCTCCAGTTTTCAGTGGAAGGTGTGCGCCAGCTCCCGCCCCTGTGGAAGCTGACACTGATAAAATCCAGCGCCTCCTTATCCCTCAATCCCTGGACCCAAAGCCCCCCTTCTCCTTTCTTCTCTTCCCCCTGCTCCTTCCCCCTTCTGGCTTCAGGTGCAGTGATCTCTTTTTCACTTTCAGGATTGGCCTTGACTGTACTTCAAGCTGGTTTCACCTGGATAAACGGAGGGGGTGGGGATAATATCAGGAGGTTCCCCTTCACCCAGGCTTTCTCCCCACCTCCACTTCCAGCTCGGCTCCAGGATGGCCACCTTCTGGTCATCACCATTCTCCTGAGCGGCTGAGATTGGCGGAGTCCAAGTCACCTTGGGGCTTCTCTGTGACCCCTGGGGATTTCCTTGCAATTTGATTCAACAGCTTGTTTCTCCTAACCCCACACTGGAGTTCAGCCCTGCTGTGAGGCCTGAGGGCTCTTGCTGGGGACTTCTCCTATTCAGACTGGCCTATAATAAACACACCTTACAGGGTGCTGGGCTCTGGAGGGGTTCAGTTTTTCAGCAACGCCCAAAACCTCCTGGTTGGTCCTACCTGTTACCTCTGTCAGCAACAGTGATGGTGAAAATAAACCTGGATAACACGGTGTAGTCAACTTGCCTAACAGACAAAATCTTTGCAAATTCCAAAGTACTTAAATATCTGTCATCTCATTCTGTCTTGACCATTGCCTTTGAAGTGGTCCTACCTACAGTTTATAGATGAGGCACCTGAGGCCCAGAACAAAGCAGTAATTCCTCCAAGCTTCCTAAAGTTCAGGGGTGGGACCCAGGGAGTCATTGACTAGGCAAGAGGAAACTGCTGCTTTGCTTTGTGGTTGGAGGGAGGAAGTGATGCTAATGGGGGTGAGAATTTCATGGAAACCTTAAAAGTAGCTATCAGGACTGTATTTGAGTGGTGGAAAGGATGAGGCTGGGGCAGGTGGCAGGCCTGGTGCTGGGTTCGGCTGTGCTCTAACCCCAGGGAGTCTTCCTTGAACCCCTCTGAGGCCCTACGCATATTTATCTAATTTGCCTGAAGAGAGGTGGGTCTTTACCCTCTCTTCCTCCAAATTAGAGTAGATTTCTATCTTTTGTACATTCCTTCCTCTGTCCCTCCAGTCAGCAAATAAATCTCAGCCTAGGGCAAGATTGTTACCAAAACCCCCACCAGTTCTACGGCTCTCCGACCTCTGGATTCCTACCCTGTGGTTTTTCAGAAACCTTCTCAGTTCTCTCAATCAGTGGTGCATGGTAATCACAGTTTCCTCCTAGTCAACTCAATTCTGTAACTTTGTATTTGGACCTGTGAAATGTAAGACTAATTTCTACTTATTGGGGGAGAGATTTACAAGGGCTTCCTGGAAGAGGTCACTGAGTTGCCTTTTGGCAGATGGAACTGAGGCAGAATTCTTAGGGGAAACAGTGGAGGGACTGCTGCTTGGACAGGCTCTAGGTATCACCTCCAAAAAAGGAGTCAAAAGCAGGGCCCTAGCCCATACCTCCTTGGGCAAGTCATTTCTCTTTAGGCCTCAGCTTTCCCTTTTCTTTTCTTTTCTTTCTTTCTTTTTTTTTTTTATTAAGACAGTCTTGCTCTGTCGCCCAGGCTGGAGTGTAGTGGCGCTATCTCAGCTCACTGCAATCTCTGCCTTCTAGGTTCAAGAGACTCTTTCACCTCAGCCTCCTGGGTAGCTGGGGCTCTAGGTGCATACCACTACACCTGGCTAATTTTTTGATTTTTTGGTAGAGACGGGGTTTCTCCATATTGGCCAGGCTGGTCTTGCACTCCTGACCTCAGGTGGTCTGCCTGCCTCGGCCTCCCAAAGTGTTGGGATTGCAGGCGTAAGCCACCAAGCCCGGCCAGTATTCCCATTTCTAAAACTCCGCTGAGCTCATGGATGACGCTCATAGTTTTGAGAGCCATGAACTGCTGAACCGCTTGTGGTCAAGGCAGTGGTGTTCATTCATTCAAAAGATATTTATTCGGGGCCTTCTATGTTCAGAAACTCTCTCTGAGGCACTAGGACATAGAGAAATCAGACTTATGGTGCTTCTGTTCCAGTGGTAGGGGGACAAATACCCAAAAAGGTAAACACATAATATATAGTCAGCGAGCTGTAGGTGCAGGGGAGAAAAATAAAGCCAAGTAAAAGATTGGGTGAGGCGGGAGATGGTCAGGGAAGGCCTCTCTGAAGAGGTGACATCTGAGTGGAGTTGGGGAGTGGCGCGCGTGCGTGTACGCGCACACACACACAAACACACACACACACACAGAGACTGGTGGAAACGGAACAACAGGTGTAAAGGCGCTGAGGTCAGGAGAAGTTTGGTGCATTTAAGAAACAGGAAGAAAGCCAGCGTGGAGAGTGGTAAGAGGTGATATTGGAGAAATAAGCTGAGTCACATCAGGTTGGCTAAGCTAAGAAGTGTGATGTCATTGTGAGTGTACTGAAAGCCATTAGAGGGTTTTGAGCAGGGGCATGACCTGGTCTGATTTCCTTACAAAAGGTGGCTCTGGGTAGCTGGGGGTTAGGGGTGCAGAGTGCCTAGTAGGAGGTTCTAACAGTGGTTCCTGTGAGAGATCATGGCCATCTGGATAGAATAACTGGAGGAGAAGTGACCAGAGGAAAGAGAGAGAGACTTTGGAGTTGGGGCTGATAGGACTCACTCATGGAATTGATGTAGGGTTGGAGACAAACGCCTGGGTTTTTGGTCTGGGTAACAGGTGAATGATTGATTGATGGTGCTGCTTAATGAATGGGGATAACTTGCAGAAGAGCAGTTTGAGAAGCATGTTCTGTTCATGGACAGAACAAAAGGTATGGACAGTCAGGGAGCTGGGTATGTTGGAGGACCAAGAGTGTGTGCCAGAAAGTGATTATAATGGGCTGAGCGTGGTGGCTCCCACCGCAGAGGCGGGAAGATTGCTTGAGCCCAGGAATTGGAGACCAACCTAGGCAACATGGCAAAAGTCCATCTCTACACAAAATGCAAAAAATTAGCCAGGTGTAGCGGCACGTGCCTGTAGTTCCAGCTACTTAGGAGGGATGTGAGAGGATTGCTTGATCCCTGGAGGTCAAGGTTGCAGTGAGCCTTAATCATGCCATTGCACTCAGCATGGGCGACAAGCAAGACCCTATCTCAAAATAAATATATAAATAAATTTAAAAATAAACAAATGGCCAGGTGCAATGGCTCACACCTGTAATCCCAGCACTTTGGGAGGCCAAAGTAGTCAGATCACCTGAGGTCAGGAGTTCAAGACCAGCCTGGCCAACATGGTGAAACCATGTCTCTACTAAAAATACAAACATTAGCTGCATGTGGTGGCATACACCTGTAATCCCAGGTACTTGGGAGGCTGAGGCAGGAGAATTGCTTGAACCTGGGAGGTGGAGGTTACAGCAAGCTGAGATTGTGCCACTGCACTGCAGCCTGGGCAACAGAGTGAGATTCTGCCTCAAAAAATAAATAAACACAAGACAAAATGGACTTTAAGGCAAACATATGCAAACACATTACTAAAGATAAAGTCACTTAGAGAATGTGCAGTTCACCAGAAGCATATAATGATTCTAATCTTAAATGTTTCTCAATAATATAGCCTGAGAATATTCATAAAGCACAACTTTTAAAAAGTCATTATAATGATAGACTGTGGGGTTCTGGCATAAAGACAAAAGTGAGGTCACAGAGGGTATGATGGACAGTAAAAGGTGGTACCACGAATGTGTTGGTGGCCCCAGCTGAGCTGTTGCTGGAATAGGGATCCTAGAGTTAGGGAGAAGGACAGGGCATGGTGGGGAGGGTGTGGATCCTTGAAATGGAGATTTTGGAGGTGGTGCAGTTTTTGAGAATGATGAGATCTGGGCTATGACCATGGGAGTGGGTGGCTGAGGTGCGGTAACACGAGCAAATCACTGGGGTGGAGTGAACAGCTCATGTACATGGACCAAGATGCCACGAGTGTTGTTTGTGTTGCAGAACAAGATTGTGGACCAGTGTGAGAGGCTGCAGTTACAGAGTGCTGGCATCAGCAAGTACATGGCAGACGTCCTGCCAGGGAAGAATCAGAGAGCAGTGGTAATTCCTCTTCTTTCCTCTCTACTCAGCCCCCTCACAGGATAAGACCCTAGCCTTAGGGACTTGGGCAAGTCTAAGGTCCCTTACCAACCTCACAGGCTCATTGTGCTACTAGCAAAGCTGGATGTCCAAGAAGGTTGGCTTCCCACCCCTCAGAGACACGGTTTTGCCATCTGGGCAGGGTGGACTTGTTCTTGTACCATACCTGGTGCAAAGACTCTGCTAGCAAATGACTTTCTTGGGTATCTTGGCACAGGGGATCAAGAAGGGTAGTATTCTTCTACCACCTAGTTATTTTCTGCTCAGCTCCAGAATTATAAAATAACCTAGAGACTTTTACACTGAATATTCTCTACGACAATCTTTTGAAGTAGGTGGCAGTAACATCCCCATTTACAAATAGGAAAATGGGTCCTATTTGTAAATGGATGTTACTGCCACCTACTTCTGGCAAGGCCCGCACAGCCTCCTGGCAGTCGGTTCTATGACCTGGATCTTCTGTCTCCCAGGCTGGTGCTCCTTCTGCTACCTCCCACTGCTGAGTCTTTTTTTTTTTTTTTTTTTTTGTCTTTTTGAGATGGGGCCTCACTCTATCGCTCAGGCTGGAGTACAGTGGTGCGATCTCAACTCAATGCAACCTCTGCCACCTGGGTTCAAGCAATTCTTCTGCCTCAGCCAACCAAGTAGCTGGGATTATAGGCACCCACCACCATGCCCAGCTAATTGTTATATTTTTAGTAGAGATGGGGTTTTACCATGTTGACCAGGCTGGTCTTGAACTCCTGGGATCAAGCCATCTTCCCTCCTTGGCCTCCCAAAGTGCTTGGATTACAGGCGTGAGCCACCACGCTTGGCCTCCACTGCAGATTCTTTATTCAGTGGACTCATTCCCAGTACTGTGTCTTTACTCTCAAGTATGCCCCTCAGGGGCAGAGGCTATGAATATCGCTCTGCACATCCCCTCCCTCCTTTCCCTATAGTACATGGAGCAGACTTGGCACTGCTTTAGTCAAAGTTCTTTTAATTGCATGGAGCAAAACCCAGTTGAACAAGCATAAGCAAAACGGGATGTTTCCTGACAGGACACTAGGGGTCCCCGTAGGCCCTAAAGGGAGCTAGACCAGGAACCAGAAAGCTGCTAGGAGGCCAGGCGGCTATTCAGTGCCCATCTGTGCTTTGCTTTGCGTAATGATCTCCATCTTCCTCCTCTGCCCTCTTCCCCTCTCCTTCCTTATCCCTTTTATTTTCTTGTCTTACTGCACTGGCTATGACCTTAGTACTGTGTTGAACAGAAGCTAGTGTGGCAAATACTTTTTTTTTTTTTGAGATGGAATTTCGCTCTTGTTGCCCAGGCTGGAGTGCAACGGTGTGATCTCGGCTCACTGCAGTGTTGGCCTCCCAGGTTCAAGCAATTCTCCTTCCTCAGCCCCCTGAGTATATGGGACAACAGGCGCCCACCACCACGCCCAGCTAATTTTTTGTATTTTTAGTAGAGATGGGGTTTCAACATGTTGGTCAGGCTGGTCTTGAATCGCTGACCTCAGGTGATCCACTTGCCTCGGCCTCCCAGAGTGCTGGGATTACAGGCGTGAGCCATTGTGCCCAGCCAAGTTTTACTATTTGAGCAACTTGCAGGATGGAGCAGCCATTAACTGGGGTGAGGAAGGACTGCATGTGGAGAGATGGCTGGCGGAGGCAGGGAGGGGAATGATGGTTGGCGGAGGCGGGGACGGGAGTGGGGGAGACCAGGAGTTCAGCTGTGGGCATGTTAAGTTTGAGATACTGATTTGACATCCAAGTGAAGATGCTGAGTGGGTAGCTGCATATTATGAGCTGGGAGAGGGCTGGGTTGGAGATATAAATTTGGAATTTATCAGTGTTTAAATAGTATTGAAAGCCATGGGAGATGATGACATCACTAAGTGAATGAATGTAGACACAAAAGAGCAGGGGTTCAAAGACTGAGCCCTGGGGCACTTCACCTCCTATTGAGAAGACAGGAGGAACCAGCAAAGGGGACCAAGAAATCAGCTAATGAAATAGAAGTAAACTAAGAGAGCAGAGTGTCCCAGAATGGGTTCCAGGGAGGTGGGAGAGGTCACTGCTCTCCAATGGTGTGTATGTATTTAACTATTTTATCACACGTATAGATTCACGTGATTACTGCCACAATTAAAATACAGAACAGCTCCATCACAAGGACTCCTTGTGCTACCCTTTTGTAGCCACACATACCCTTTCCTCTCCCCTTGTATTATTGTTAATACAAAATTTCTGAATTTGGATTGCTAATCTCAGTAAAGCGTTTTTTATTTTTGTTTTAGGATTTTTGCATGTATGCTCAGGAGTGAGCTTAGTCTATGAATTTCATTTCTTGTGCTGTCCTTATCAGATTTGATATCAAGGTTATGTAAGCCTTATTCAATGGATTGGGAAACAGAACTCTTTTTTCTTAAGGGTTTACTTAAGATAAGTTGTTCTTAGTTTTGATCAAAGTTGCCATAGGTTTGACTATTTTGTTAGTCTTTAGAACTAGCTTCTAGTATTTTCGATCTGCTCTTTTGTATCTTTGTCTTAATTTCATTATTCTTTCCTCTTCTTTATTTATTTATTTTTTTTTGAAACAAAGTCTCACTCTGTTACCCAGGCTGGAGCACAATGGCACTATCATGGCTCACTGCAGCCTTGAACTCCTGCGCTCAAGTGATCCTCTTGCCTCGGCCTCCCAAAGTACTTGGATTGCCAACATGACCCACCGTGCCTAGATTATACATATATATGTCTGTGTGTATATATATATCTATATATATATATAGATATGTGTGTGTATGTGTGTGTGTGAAACTTATTCATTCGGCTGAACATGGTGGATCATGCCTATAATCCCAGCACTTTGGGAGGCCAAGGCAGAAGGATCACTTGAACCCAAGAGTTCGAGACTATTTTTGGCAATATAGCAAGACCTTTCCTCTACAAAAAATAAAAAAATTAGCCAGACATGATGGCATGGACCTAAAGTCCCAGCTACTTGGGAGGGTGAGGTGAGAGGATCACTGGAGCCTAGGAGTTTGAGACTGCAGTGAGCTATGATTGTAGCCTGGGTTACAGAGCAAGACCCTGTCTCAAAAAATAAAAAAATAAAAAACTTACTAGTTGGTTCAAATCTGCTCTCTACTTAATTTTTTTTTTTTTTTTTTTTTTTTTTTGAGACAGAGTCTTGCCCTGCCACCCAGGCTGGGGTACAGTGATGTGATCTCAGCTCACTGCAGCCTCCATCTCCCAGGTTCAAGCAATTCTCCTGCCTCAGCCTCCTGAGTAGCTGGGATTACAGGTGCCTACCACCACGCCCAACTAATTTTTGTATTTTTAGTACAGACAGGGTTTCACCATGTTGGCCAGGCTGGTCTCGAACTCCTGACTTTGGGTGATCCACCTGCCTCGGCCTCTGAAAGTGCTGGGATTACAGGTGTGAGCCACTGTGCCTGGCCACAACTACCCTTTTAAAAGGATGCTTGGACTATTTTTCTAGCATTTCTCTACTTTATTCTGAGAGGGTTTTTGGTTTGTCTACTCTCTGTCATGTCTTTGGAAAGGGAAGTTTTTTCTTTTCTTTGCTCTCCTTTTCTGGGAATGACTCAACAAACTTGTTGAGACTGACTAGTCTTTTAGGCAGGAATCAGAATCTGATTCAACTTGGGTGAGAATCTGTTTTGATCCAGGGTCACACAGTGCAACCATGTCTTCAGGATAGTCAGGAGAGTAATAGTGGGCTGGATGCAGTTGCTCATGATTATAATCCCAGCACTTTGGAAGACTGAGGCAGGAAGATTGCTTGAGTCCAGGAGTTCAAGGCTGCAGTGAGCTATGATTGTGTCACTACATTTCAGCCTAGGCATCAGAGCAAGACTCTGTCTTAAAGAAAAAAAAAAAAAAAGGCTGGGTGAAAAAAAATGCCTGTAATCCCAGCACTTTCGGAGGCTGAGGTGGGTGGATCACGAGATCAGAAGATTGAGACCAGGTTGGCCAACACGGTGAAACCCCATCTCTACTAAAAATACAAAAATTAGCTGGGCATGGCAGCGCATGCCTAATCCCAGCTGCTCAGGAGGCTTCAGGCAGGAGAATTGCTTGAACCCAGGGGGTGGAGGTTGCAGTGAGCTGAGATCATGCCACTGCACTCCAGCCTGGTGACAGTGCTAGACTCTGTCTCAAAAAAAAAAAACAAAAACAAAAGAAGAGCAATAGTGAATGAATGTCATTGAACACGTAATATGGCAGGCTTTATTCTACTTACTTTATATATATTAACACATTTAACCCTCACCGTAGCCTTATGAGGTAGGTACTGTTATTATTCTCATTTTACAGATTAGAAAATATAGGCATAGGGAAAATAAGGAATATGTTCCAAGTTCCACAGCTAATGAGTGGAGCAGTTAAGATTTAAATCTAGACACTATCTCTAAGGCTTAATTTCCTAACCACTATGTTATATTGCCTCAAGAGAACCCTAAAAACTTGGAGTCTTACCTTCTGCATTCACTTGCCATTCACTTAGCTACTCTCTCCTCCCTGTAAGGCAAATTGTGGGTCTCAGTCTTTTCTGTAAAACAGGGATGATTGCCCTGTGCACTGTACAGAGCAGGTCTTCAGGGACAGGGCATAGGGAAAGTGGCTGGCTGTCCCTGATGTTCTGATGTGAAGGAGGCAGTTCTGTCTCCACTTGTCTGGCAAGAGTGCAAGGGCAGCTGCTTTATGCAACAGGTGCCCTTGGGGAGGATGGGTTGCCAGGTGCCGTCTGGTATAAGGGAATGGGATTAGACTGAGAGTCAAGAAAATTGGATTCTAGTCTCAGCTCTGCCACTGAATTGCCATGTGAGTGCTACCAAGAGATTTTTTTACTAAGTCTGAAAAAATTTCCTGGGTGGGCACAGTGGCTCATGCCTATAATCCCAGCACTTTGAGGGACTGAGTTGGGCATATTGCTTGAGCCTAGGAGTTTGAGACCAGCTTGGGCAACATGGTGAAACTCCATCTCTATTTTTAAAAAGAGATATTAAAAATAAAAAAATTTCCCATTCAGTCAATATTTGAGTACCTGCCACATGCCAGGCACTGAGCTAAGAATTACAAGGAGACACCTGTTAACTTCATTGTCTGAGAATTGATTTCAGGCCTTTTCTGTGGCAGATAAAAATTCTACCACAGAACCAGTTGAAACGGACAGCTTTAGGAAGTCATCAGTTTTTTTCCCTCAGACATGGTGAAATATCAACTGGATCCCTGCTGGTATCGATCTTGCTGATGGGATGACTTTTTAGGCCCTCTGCCCTGCAATTCTGTGATTCTCTGACCTTGATCCTTTGATCTTGTATTCCCAATTGTGATGACATGTCTGTATCTCAAAATTCTTTACCCTAAACCATATTTGGGAAGTCTTAGGGCTGAGATGTCAAAGCAAAAGGGCTTATATGCTATTATTTCCATCACTAAGTCGTGGCAGACGTTGCTAATCAATTTCAGCACTCCTTTCCACTGAGCCTAAACCCACTTAATCCTGACTGGGGCTTTGCAGGGACCACCCAACTCCTCATTTTATCCCTCATCAGAGCATGGCCAGTGCAGCAAGGGAACTGGTTATCCAGCGGTTGAGTCTGGTGAGAAGTCTTTGCGAGAGTGAGGAGCAGCGGTTACTGGAACAGGTGCATGGCGAAGAGGAGCGGGCCCACCAGAGCATCCTGACACAGCGGGTGCACTGGGCCGAGGCGCTGCAGAAGCTTGACACCATCCGCACCAGCCTGGTGGGCATGCTCACCCACCTGGATGACCTCCAGCTGATTGTAAGTCGGGCAAGGATGAGGGCATGACCAGTTGGCCAGGCTCCCCAAATGTCTGAAAACATCAAGAATGTTTGTTGGTATGTGGTGGGTGGAAATGAGAATTTGGAGGAGGGGTGAGTGACCAAGATTCTTTGCTTGGCCAAACTTTAGTCAGGCTTCTGAACCCTCTCCCTGGCCCATCTGTGCACTTCATTATAAAAACCAGTTTTTGCAAAAGAATCTTGCAAAGTCAATGTAGCCAGAAACCCCTATCCTTGACATCTGATCATCCTCGATATCTGATCAGGTTCCTCATCCACCACCATCTCCCAGGTGATGTCTGATCACTGTGTTCTGTCTGCAGCAAAAATCCTGTTAGGTAGGTTTAGCCATAATCTCCCTTACCCCCAATGTTTCCTCTTCATAATTTTCCATCCAATAACCCCCTGCCCTGCTCCTTAGCTATACATTTCTACCTGCCCATGCTGTATTCAGAGTTCAGCCCAATCTCTCTCCCACTGCAAGACCTCATTTTAAAGAGGTCTTGAATAAACTCTGCCTTAATGTGCTTTAGGGATTACAGGGAATAAAATTAGGTTTTTTGGGCACTGATAATAGTTTTCTTTTGATAGTCAATGTGTACTGAGTGCCTATTACATGTGAAGCACTGTGCTATGGTGCAGAGTAACCGGATGCACCTGCCAGCTGCTCCCAGCCTTATAAAGGAGATGAATACACTAACTGACAATTCGGGTATGGAAGGATATGTACTGCTGTAGAGGAAATCACCCATGCTAGGGTCTGACAGTCCAGGCTAAGGGAAGGCGGGGTCAGAGAAGGTTCCAGGATGAAGTGACTTAGAAGCTGATGCCTGAAAGATAAGAAGAATAGCTGTGTCAAAGGAAGTGAGGAGGTGGAGAGAGTTCAGAAGCACGTAGAGAGAACACTCTGCTCTGGGGAACTGACGAGGGCTCTGATATGAAAATACAGAGCTCATCCTTAATCCTACCACCCAGAAATCACCATGATTCATATTTGGTACATAGCCTTTCAAAGTATTTTATATGGATAGGCAGCTGCCTGCAGTTTTGAGGGGAGAATGTGGCATCTGAGTCACAAGCAGAGGACGGAGAATGTGGAACACCTGAGCTGTCCCACTGCCTCTGCAAGTAGGGCAGTTTTCATGACTGCCCGCAACAGTGCATTCATTTAGTCACAGCTTCCATGGACAGAGCACGCTCTTTCACAGACACTGGGACAGTCACAATAGAAAACTCAGAAGGAGTCACAGCCATCCAGAAACGGACAGTCTTCATGGGGGATGCTGTCGGGTGAACAGGTGATGGTCCTGAGTGGAGTTGAGGGGAATCCAGGATGCCCTGGGATATAGGGTAGAGTGACTCACTCTGAGCATGTGTTATGGGGTGTGAGTGTGTGTGTGTGTATGTGTATGTGTAGAACAGCTTAGAAAGCTTTATGCTGGTCTTAAAAGAGTAGAAGTTTTTATTGTAGAGTCCACATGGAGCCTTTTATGGTAGTTAAATATGTCCTAGCATTGACTACCTGCTGAGTTTCTGGTGCCAAGCCTGACTGTGTTTTCTTTTCTCACAGCAGAAGGAGCAAGAGATTTTCGAGAGGTGAGTATAGACCCCATGATTTGACTGGGTAGTTTTGGAGACCCTTAGGCCTCTACACACTCCACTGCCTTCAGGCCCTGCTGCTCTTGGGAGAATGCACAGAGTGTGCAGCTGAGTGGTTTCCCTGGAGCCCAGCTCTGTGGACAGGGTATCTCTCTGCCCTTGGCTTAGAGAACTGCTCAAAACACATGGGAAGGCAGTGGAATACTTAGTAATCCAAGACTCGCCACTGCTTTCTTAAACTTCCTCTGTAAAAAGGTAGTCACCCTGTTGGAAGGTTTTACCACCTCCATCTGCAGATGAAAAGGTTGAGACTCTAAAAGGGGAAGGGACCTGCCTAAGCCTGGAACCCAGGGATGGACCCATCTAACACCTGCCCCAGTACTGTCGCCTCTGCCTCACTCCTCCTTTCTCTGATGGAGGAATCTTTGAAGCCTAAATCAGCATCAACACTCAAATTTTGCATTTTAACTCTTCAATAATAAAATAATTTCACCAGATCCTGTGTGGGTTCTAAAAGACTGAGAGCCAAGCCCTGAGCTAGTGGCCAAGAGGACATACTTTGCTAGGCAGAGTAATTCACAAACCTTCTGTGTGCAATTTCAGAGCTATACTTAGGGAACACAGTCCATTCTTCTTGTTTATTCACTTATTTATTTTTCTATATTTCAGTGGGTACAAATAATTTATTTTTATATTTAAGTTTCGATAGCAATACATGTGCATGAGAAAAAAATTCCACGGATATAAAGCCATTTAAAATGAAAAATAAATCTTGCTAGGCATGGTATCTCACACCTGTAATTCCAGCACTTTGGGAGGTCAAGGCAGGAGGATAACTTGAAGCTAGGAGTTTGAGACCAGCCTGGGCAATACAGTGAGACCTGATCGCTACAAAAAAATTTTAAAATAGCCATGTTTCCTGCTGAGAGCCTGGTTCCTCAGAAGGCTGAGACAGGAGGATCACTTGAACCTGGGTGGTTGAGGCTGCAGTGAGCCATGATCACACCACTGCACTCTCCTGGACAACACAGTGAGACCATATCTCCAAAAAAAAAAATCTCCATTACCCTTTCCCAATCCCATTCCCTAGCAGTGATGGGTTTGAAAAGATGTGCATTTGTGGACTTGCTATGTATAGGCATTGGAGGGTATGTGGGGGTTTTTTGGTTGTTGTCTTAAAAAAAATTTTTAGGCTGGGCACCGTGGCTCATGCCTGTAATCCCAGCACTTTGGGAGGCTGAGGCGGGTGGATCACTTGAAGTCAGGAGTTCAAAACCAGACTGGGCCAACACTGCGAAATCCTATCTCTACTAAAAATTCAAAAATTAGTCAGGTGTGGCAGCGTGCACCTGTAGTCCCAGCTACTCAGGAGGCTGAGGCAGGAAAATTGCTTAAACCTGGGAGGTGGAGGTTGCAGTGAGCTGAGATCGAGTCACTGCACTCCGGCAACAGAGACACCCGTAATCCCATCACTTAGGGAAGCCTAGGCAGGCAGATCACTTGAGGTCAGGAGTTCACAACCAGCTTGGCCAACATGGTGAAATCCCATCTCTACTAAAAATACAAAAATTAGCTGGGTGCGGTGGCACACACCTGTAATCCCAGTTACTGGGGAAGCTGGGGCAGGAGGATCACTTGAGCCCAGGAGGCGGAGGTTATAGTGAGCTGAGAGCATGTCAGTGTACTCTAGCCTGGGTGACGGGAGTGAAATCCTGTCTCAATAAAAGTAGGATCATTTTATACCTGTTGTTTTAAAACTTGTTAGCCTATCTGGGACATGTTTCCCTGTCCATACATTTAGATTCCCCTCACTTCTTTGAAAGTCTGTGAAGAATTGCACAGTGTAGATGGATCACATTTATTTTACTGTCTCCTAATGCATGCTCGGCTTGTTCTCACTTCTCCACTTGTACAATCTTTTCACACTTCTGCCTGTCTTCTCTATCTCCTTTGTCTTCATCTTTAATACATTGTATCCTTAATATCAAGCTGATCTCGTTTTTGAAAAAAAATTGATCTTTAATTTTTTTATTCAAAAGATTTCGAACTTACAAAAAAGTTACAAAGGTAATGAGCTTCACCTAGAAAATAGCAATTGTTAACATTTTGCCGCATTCACTCTCACTTACTCTGTCTTCCTATTTGTCGAGCATATATGTTAAAAACTTATTTTTTAATTTTTAAAAATAATTTTAAAAAAGAAAAAAAAACTTTTTTCTAAGACGAACTTTCACCATGATGGCCAGGCTGGTCTTGAACTCCTGACCTCAGGTGATCCACCTCAGCCTCCCAAAGTGCTAGGATAACAGGCGTGAACAACCGCGCCTAGCCAAAAACTTATTTTTTTATGGTCTATTTGAGGGTAAGTTCCAGAAAACATGAACTTTTCTTTCAAAATACTTCAGCATGTTTCTTCCAGAAACAAAGACATTGTCTTATATAACCCTAGCATAAAATTGAGGAAGTTTAACATAGATATAATACTATAATCCGATACACAGTCTATATCCAACCATTACCAATTGTGCAAATGTTCTTAACAGTGTTTTATTTCATTTTCCTACTTCAGCTGGTCCTTTAAAGTCTAGAATTTTTCTTTAGCTTTTTTAAAAACATTTTTAAAGAGTCAAGGCCAGTTTTATAGGATCTCCCTCAATTGGGGTTATCTGATGTTACCTTATGATTAGATTCAAGTTATACATTTTTAGCAGGAATACCTCATAACTGATGTATCTTCAATTCATCATATCTGGGGGCCCATGATGTCCCTTTGTCCATTACAAAGGATGTAAATTTTGAGTACTTGGTTAAGGTGATGTCCACCAGGTTTCCCCATTATAAAATTATACTTTTCCTTTTATCATTAATAAGCAGTCTGTGGGGAGACACTTTCTGCATATATATCCTGTGTCCCTTCAGACTTTCTCCCATAGTTTTAGCATCCATTGGTCATTCCTGCCTGAATTATTCCTTTATTATTTGCTTGTTTGTTCACTTATTCAATATTAATACAGACTCATGGATTCTTATTTTATTCAATGCATTATAATCTGTCACTGCCATTACTAACTTTGTCATTCAGACTGTCCTAGATTTGGCCAGTAGGAGCCTCTTCAAGTTGGATCCTGTGTCCTTTTGAAAAGTTCCTATTCTTGGAGCACTGTCTTGCTCTCTGGCATAAGAAGCACAAGAAGATAACCCCAGCTTAACTTGTGCTTTTCCTGCCCTGGAATCAGCTGCTTCTCCAGGGGTCCTGGTGGTTTTTATTGGAGAATAATATTTAGAAACCAAGATCTGGGCATTAAGGATACTCAGTGACCTTGTTTCCAGGTCTCAGTGTACAACAGATGGAACTAGGAAGAGAGAGCCAGAGAGCGTGTATAGCTTTTTGATGCATACGTTTGTATCGCAACTTTTTTTTCTTTTTTTTTGACACAGAGTCTGCTCTGTCACTCAGGCTGGAGTGCAATGGTGCAATCTTGGTTCACTGTAACCTCTGCCTCCTGGATTCAAGTGATTCTCATGCCTCAGCCTCCTGAGTAGCTGGGATTACAAGCATGTGCCACCATGCCCAGCTAATTTTTGTAATTTTAGTGGAGACAAGGTTTCACCATATTGGCCAGACTGGTGTTGAACTTCTGACCTCAAGTGATCTGCCTGCCTCAGTCTTGCAAAGTGCTGGGATCACAGGCATGAACCACCATGCCCAGCCTATATCACAACTTCTAATTCCAATGTAACACCTCAAGGTTTTCCTTTGCCCTCTCCCTTTCTACATTTGTACCTCTTGTTATTTTACAGTGAGGACTCCAGCTCCCAACAACATCAATACTTGCTCAATCCTATAATACATACAAAGTTGTCTGAGCATCGCTAAGCCCATACTGCTGTTGACAGGCCTCTTCACAGAGTTCCAGATTTGTCTGTACTTCTTTATGCCCCTAGGCTGAGGGAGTATACTCTCAAAGCACTGTGTTCAAAAGTTCCCAAGCCCCATCTAGCTGAAAACTCACTTATCTGAGAAGTGCCTTACTGGCTCTGGTGTTTCCATGCTGGTGGCCGGGCTCAACTCTGACTGGACACTGCAGCAGATGCTGCCGCACCGTCTGGGTGTTCTGATCCCGACCGGGGCCTGCTGTCTTCAGGCCCTGTTTCATTTCCACCCCTTTGGGGCCATGAGTTTTGTCTTCGGTACCATAGGGAAGCTATGTCAGGTGCTTCACTGTAGACTTTACTGTCTACATTCAGTCTCAGATTTGCCCTGGAATGACAGCTTAGCACCGCTGACATCAGCTCCTCTTTCTTCCCCACCTGTTGGCGAGAGCTTCTGCCTTCTGAGAAGATGGCAATAGACCCTCTCTTGTCCTGATCACAAGGCGCCTTTGTTACTAGAGCTTGCTTCCAGAATTTCCAAGGCTTTGTTCACCTCATGCCTCCCAAGCCAGGACAGTCAGTGACAGTCTTGCAAAGAGCTATCAGGGCACAGGCCCCACCTCTGTGCCCCCCTCCATTTATGGGCAGAGCCATAAGATATGGGGAGAGAGCGTGTGCACTCAGAACCACTGCCGGATCTCAAAGCCATCTTCAGGATTGGAGGCAGGAGGAAAGGTCTTTCTTAGAACCTGGGGCAAAGGGCTGCAAAGCTCCATGGTAAATCCCTACTTTGTCCTCTATTCCTTTGAGATTTCACTTCAGGTCAAGGAAAAAATTACGTTGAATGCTGCCTGGGCTTCATCCCAATTTTTTTCCATTGTTGCAGGGAGACAGGACTTGAATCCAGCACCCCATTTTAGCTCTGAACATGTTCTGTCCTGTCAAATGAGAGAACCACTACCTCCCAGGTGATAGCAAAGTTGAAGCGCAATTCTATAGAGAAAACAGCAAGCCCAGGGCCTGGCTGCTGTTTTCAACTTGGCAAGTTGAAATGGCAGTTTCAAATGGCACTTCTCAACTTCTAGGCATCATATTGTCCTAAATTGCCTTTCCAACAAAACCCAGGCCCCACTGTGAGCTGAGGAGAGAGATCTTAGGAGCACAGTGGCATGACTCATTTGTGGCTGGGGTGGTAACTGATGGCCCTTTTTTCCCTCTGGTGTTCACATTTTTAAAGTAGAGGAGTGGCTGTACCCTCTGACAAAACCCAGGGAAACATGACTGCCGCAGCAGGTCTGGGAGGGAGGTGAGAGATTTTCTGGGCAAGGGTAAGATGCTGAGGTAGAAAGACTACTGTGCAGGGGTTCCAGAACCCCAGGCCTTAGCCCAGCTCTGCCATTAACTTACTGAGAGACCCTGGCAAGTTACTTCCCCTGCAGAGCACACAGCCTTCAATTTCTAATACTGGCACCAAGAACACATCTCCCTGTAAACTGTGTACCAGCTTGGCTGATATTGAGGTTTCTGGGGGCACAGGGGAAATGCCCACCTTCCCTTTTGGCCCAAGCCCCTTTGTGGGGCCTGAATGCCACTGGTTTTTTTTTTTTTTTTTTTTTTTTTTTTTTTTTTTTTCTTGAGACAGGGTCTCACTCTGTCACCGAGGCTAGAGTGCAGCGGCATGATTTCAGCTGACTGCAGCCTCTACCTCCTGTGTTCAAACAGTCCTCCCACCCCAGCCTCCCAAGTAGCTGGGACTACAGGTGCATGCCACCACACCCAACTCATTTTAAATTTTTTATAGAGACGGGGTCTTACTGTGTTGTCCATGCTGGTCTCAATCTTCTGGGCTCAAGCAATCCTCTCCCACCTCAGGCCTCCCAAAGTGCTGGGGTCACAGGGGTGAGTCACTGCACCTGGCCCTAGCTGCCAATTTTGGTGTCACCCTGATAGAAGGATTTTACTTCTGCCCTTGTCCTCACCCCATATTGATCCAGATATATTTCCAGAATCATCCTGAATCTCTGTTTCTGTTTCTCCCCATATAAGGACTGAAGAAGCAGAGGGCATTTTGGATCCCCAGGAGTCGGAAATGTTAAACTTTAATGAGAAGTGCACTCGGAGCCCACTACTGACCCAACTCTGGGCAACGGCAGTTCTTGGGTCCCTCTCAGGTTAGAAGCAGTAGAGCCCAGGACCATTAGGACAACTGGGCCTCTGTCTGTCTGTCTGGGGTTCACTCCTGGTTCGCACTGGGGACCAGGGCATCTGAGATGGCAGCTTAAACCAGGCATGCTGGATGCAGGCTGGTCAGTAGGGCCAAGGTTCCAGACAGGCCTGGGGCAGATGGGCAAAGTCCTTCCCATTTTCAGACTATCATGTTCTGTGGTTGGGTCTGAGATAAATCTCATTCCTATAAATCATGTCTTCCTTATATCCTGCCCTACCAGGGCAGCTCAGTATTATTTATTGGAAACCTGGGGTTTAAGAAAATATAAATGAGGGCCCACTGGAGAACATCTGGACCAAGAATCAAACTGCCTAATTTGCCTCACTTACTCACTTTACACGCACTGACTCAGACCAACTGTGGGTCCCACCCTGTGCCACACGCTGGGGCCACAGAGGTAAGCATGACATGGTCTTCTGCCTCCAGGAATTCCCATTTAGCACGGGGGTTCTCCGGAGCAGGCCTTCTCCAAATTACATGGAAGCTTCCATCCTCCCAATGGTAGCTTTTGCACAATTCATGGAACAGTTAGGTTAATAGACTGATTTTTTTTTTTTTTTCAGTTTTAATCCTCCCTCCTTATATTATCCTTATGATTTTGGCACAAGATGTAGCTTGTCTACTGGAGATTCTGGTATCAAACGATGCCTGATTTACCAGCAGTTTAGTTATTGGCTGGAAATTGCATATCTCATGCTTCCTAGCTTCCTGAGGCTGTGTTTCTAGGACAAAACCAATCTGGAGGCCACAGATATGAACAGGTAGAAAGCAGCATAATCAGTGCTAGGCATAGGAACAAAATGCTTTGTCTTCATTTTGCCCCTGACACCGACTCAGTGTGTGAACTTGGGCAACTCACTTCTCTCTGGGCCTTATTTCTAACAGAGTTTACAGATGAGGGTCTTGACCAATAATAACTGTTGTTATCAGGGCTATAGTTTATAGAGCACTTACATGCTGGGCACTTTACATGTATGATTCTGTTTAATTCTCATGATCGCTCAGTGAGAAGTCCTATTTTGACCCCCATTTTGTAAATGTGCCTCAGAGAGAGTAAATGGCTTATCTGAGCTCACCGTGCCAATGAGTGGTGAGGAACTTTTTGCTACCTGGCAAGACCAGGTTAGGGCAGGGGTGGGCTCTCGGCAACTCTGATAATTCTTTCTGGCAGGTACAGAGGACATACGGATCGATGAGAGGACAGTCAGCCCCTTCCTGCAATTGTCAGATGATCGAAAGACCCTGACCTTCAGCACCAAGAAGTCAAAGCCCTGTGCAGATGGCCCGGAGCGCTTTGACCACTGGCCCAATGCCCTGGCTGCCACCTCCTTCCAGGATGGGCTCCATGCCTGGATAGTGAATGTCCAGAACAGCTGTGCCTATAAGGTGGGCGTGGCCTCAGGCCACCTGCCCCGCAAGGGCTCTGGCAGTGACTGCCGTCTGGGCCACAATGCCTTTTCCTGGGTCTTCTCTCGCTATGATCAGGAGTTTCGTTTCTCACACAATGCGCAGCACGAGCCCCTGGGGCTGCTGCGGGGCCCAGCCCAGCTGGGTGTGCTGCTGGACTTGCAGGCTCGGGAGCTGCTCTTCTATGAGCCAGCCTCTGGCACAGTGCTCTATACCTATCATGGGGCCTTCCCTGGGCCCCTCTTCCCAGTCTTTGCTGTGGCCGATCAGACCATTTCCATCGTTCGCTGACCTCTGGCCACAGGAAGCCAGGTCCACCTCCCACCACCCTTTCAGGCCATGTTTTTACTGAGTGTCCTTTTCCCAAATGATGTATGTGGTGTTTCTAAGGGAAACAGGGCCCACAATCAGTGGGCAGCTTTAGGAGGGATGGGGATCTGTTTCAGATCTAGGCACAACCTGTAAATCACAGGTGTCCAAACTTTTGGCTGCCCTGAGCCACAGTAGAAGAAGAATTTTCTTGGGCCACATAAAATAACAATAGCTGATGAGCTAAGCTAAAAAAAAAAAAAAAAAAAAAACTCTGTATAATTTTTGTGATATCTGCCACCACAGATAAGCAAAAAAGCCCTCGAATTCAAAGAGTTGGACATTGCTGCTTTGAATGCTGGGTATCTGTGGGGAACCTGCTACTACTTCCTGGGCCTTAGTCTCCCAAATCCACCATGTATCTGCCCCTCTGAGGGTGTCTTCACTTTGTCTCTGGCATCCAGCATGGTGCCTGGTACATAGCAAGTATGCAATAAACATTTGGCAGGTGAGTGGATGGACAGATGGAGAGGTGAATGTAGGTAGGTGGATGGACAGGTGACTGGGTGGATGTGGTGGTCTCGGGAGAAGCACTGCTATTCAGCCGCCTGCTCCAGCTTTGCACGTGAAGAAGTGCTTCTCTTCACAGGCAGAGAAGGCTGGCCAAAGTTTCTGCATCCCATTAATTCAGTGCCTCTGTCTTTTTCATGACACGGCACATAGAGAAAATATTTTTTCTAGCACACAAGGGCAAACTGAAAGGCTGCTTCTGGCCAGAGGACTCTGGCATGGGGGACTGTGTCCTCCCCAATGTCCTGCCTAGGCTCTCAGAGGACCAGGGGGTTGTGTCTCCAGGTAACCTGACTGCAGCCACATCATCAGCATCTGTCTCACACCTGCCAGCTGAGCCCCAGCCTGTGTCCACCAGTAAAAGCAGGGAGGGCCTTTTCCCTTAGAGCAGCTGATAAGTTTCCCTACCTGATGGCCCCCTCTGACATAAACTGCACACCTGGGGTGAGGGCTTAAAGCCAGAAATTGCTGAGGGAGCCAGAGGGCCAGCCTTAGGGCACATGGACATTATTAAAGGTCTTAAAAGCATTAAAGATTTATTCCGTGTTCTTTGTTGGTAATTAGGTGTATACTGTATGCTGGCCCGTCTTCATACCCTTATCGCATTCTTGGAAATAAGTGGGTGGCAGCTCAGCATAGCAGAAAGAGCCTGGAGATGCTACCAAGACCCAAGGCAAGTTCCTTTATGTTTGTGTCTGTTAGGAGTTCACCCTAGAACAGCGGTCTTCAAATGTTTGTCCAGGAACTCTCTTCTAAAGCAATCTTACCTACAACTTTAGGCTCCTGGGTCCAAAGAAGATGAGAGGCAGAGCCCTCCCCACTTTGTTTGGGAGCCATAGAGTAGTTTGAAAACCACTGTTTATTTTTTATTTTTATTTTTTGAGACAGTCTCAAAGGGAGGCCGAGGCGGGTGGATCATCTGATGTCAGGAGTTCAAGACCAGCCTGGTCAACATGGTGAAACCCCATCTCTACTAAAAATACAAAAAATTAGCTAGGCATAGTGGTGTACACCTGTGATCTCAGCTAATCAGGAGGCTGAGGCAGGAGAATTGCTTGGACCTGGGAGATGGAGGTTGCAGTGAGCCGAGATCGCACCACTGCACTCCAGCCTGGGCGACAGAACGAGACTCAGTCTCAGAAAAAAAGAGGAAATTACTGTAGCCTGGCCTTGGTGCCAGTCCCAAGACTTTGGTCAAGCCCCAAAGAGATCTTCCCTGCCTTTGCCTGGGCACAGCCCCAGCTAAAAAATCTGGGGCAAAGCCAAAGCTCTTCTTGGCCGGAAGAGCTTGAAGGCCTGAAACACCCTCCCTCAGGAAGCCTGGGGTCAGTGCTTAGTTTGAAAAGCAGGATGCTAAGCCATCCTGCAGGGACACTGTCCATTAGCACCACATAGTACGAAGGGGAGAATTTAAACAAGGAACCCCATGACAGTCATGAGAAGAAATCCTGTTGACCTATGCCTGCTTTGTGTTAGGTAATATGCTGTTACTTACATGCACGGATAACCCTCAAAGCTACCTCGTGGAAGGCCCCCCAGGCCGTGTCTCCCCCGATCCACCAACTCAGCTTCTCACAGCAGCCTTCATTCAAGTTCATGGGCCTGCTGCAGGATTGCCCTCCTCATTTGTCTGCTCATCTAAAGCCACCCCCCAATGCCACCCCTCAATTGAGCATCCACTCCAGAGCCCTCCCTGGCTGCTGGCACCAGAACACACTGCCAGGTGTGTGCCTGTGTTTTTAACACGTGGCATCCCCTGGCAATGGGCAAGGCACAGAGATGTCCAGCAAATACCAAGTAGAAAGGTGTGTGGGAAGGTAGGGAGGCAGGAAGAGATTTCTTTTTTTTTAGAGACAGGGTTTCACTGTTGCCCAGGCTGGAATCCAGTGGCACCACCGTAGCTCACGTAACTAAACTCCTGGGCTCAAGCGATCCTCCTACCTTAGCCTTCTGAGTGGCTGGGATTAAAGGTGTGTGCCAGTACACCAGGCTAGTTTTCAAATTTTTTGTAGAGGTGGAGTTTCACCATGTTGCCCAGGCTGGTCTCAAACTCCTGGGCTCAAGTGATACTCCTGCCTCAGCCTCCTAAAGTGAGAAAGGAAACTGAAAACCCAACTTACTTCTTCAACCTCCAGTTGTTTCCCCCTCCCCCCAAACCTATTCCCTATACTCCTGTCCAGTCCTTGTTCCCAGTACTTTCCTACCTCCACGCTAGTCTCTGTGACTGGGATGCCCTTCAAGGTTGACATTCTTTAGGACACCTCCCCTATTCGCCCAGGATCTCTACTGTACCATGTCTCACATGACAAGGATCCCCATCTACCTGCAACCTGGCAGTTACACCAATGCGCTTTGAAGTCAGATGTGCCTAAATTGGAATCCTGGCTTTTTTACATGCTAGCTGTGACCTCATGCAGGTTGCTTAACTTCTGCATTTCAGTTTCCTCATTTGTAAAGTTGTGGAGGGGGTCAAACCACCTAGATCCAATGAGGTAGCTTTGGGGGCTATACGAGCATATAAGTAACTTATCACATTACCTAACACCAAGCAGGCATAAGCCAACAGGATTTCTTCTCATGACTGTCATGGGGTTCCTTGTTTAAATTCACCCCTTCATACTACATGGTGCTAATGGACAGTGTCCCTATGGACAGCTTAGCATCCTGCTTTTCAAACTAAGTGCTGACCCCAGGCTTCCAGAGGGAGGGTGTTTCAGAAGCTAAATGAGAGGCCTTAGGACCTCTGCTTCTTCTCCAGCAGTTTTTCAGTGTTTTTAGTTTTGCATAATGGGGTTTCAGATCTCCCATGACAAAAGGCCCCTGCTGCTAAAACCAAGTTTGAAAGTGCCCGGTTTTGAAGCTAGTTGGACCCTCTGTGTGTCCTGGTGGATGTGAAGAGGACTCCTAGTGGAAAAGGGACAGAGGTGTGAATAAGAATGAGGGAAGGCAGAGGCTAGGAGCTGATTAGTGGGGCAAGGCTGAGAGCCCAGCACTCAAACTGCTTTATTATCAGAATAGGTGATGAAGGCCGCAGGGAGACCAGGAAAGTCCAGAGCTTTGGAGAAAGAAGGGGCTCCCTGTCTGCAGGGTTTGTTTTGGGTTTTCTCCATGGCCTAGGGCCCAGCCACTTCCCTCACCAGCCTCAAAGTCCTGGGGTTGAGCCCCCTAGGTGGTCAAGGGCAGGCAGGAGATGAGCCAGAGTGGGGAGGATGTGTTCTTTAGGTACAGAATCCCTGACCATGGGGTCCACTGCCTGTGGGCCAACCACCAGGAAGCTGTGCAGGCCCGCAGCCCGAGGCCCCTGGTAATCACAGAGGTAATTATCCCCAACATGGGCGGTCACTGCAGGTTCCATATGAGCAAGACGCAAGGCCTCCTGGAAAATGCGAGGGTCCGGCTTGGACCAGCCAGCATCCTCAGAGGTCAGCACAAAGTCAAAGTACTCACGCAGGCCAAGACCTGCCAGGATGCCCTCTAGCCGTCGGTCAAAGTTGGAGACTACTGCCAACCTCAGACCCCGTGTACGGCACCCCCTCAGGGTGTCCTCAGCCCCATCCAGCACCTGCCAGGTGCAGGGTTTGCTGAAGTCTTCATACAGCTGTTCGGCGATGAGCGCCACAGCCTGAGCATCCCGGACACCCGCCAGGTGGAAGGTCTGCAGGACCACGTCCAGCCACCACTGGCGGGAGGTGAGGCCGTGGCTCAGGCCGTAGTTGGGGAAGCTGCGGCTATGAGCCTTGTATGCCTGCCTGAAGCCTTGTTCCAGGACTGAGGGTTCCACCTCCAGTCCATGGGCCCGGCCCTTGGCAGCATACTCCTCCCCTACGGGGTTGCGGAGCCTGAGCAGCGTGTCCTTCACATCCCACGTCAGCAGTCGTATCTGCAGCCGGTGTGCCATGGAGGAGGCCAAGTCCACCCCAGTTCTGCCTCAGGTCCCACGGTGGGTCCCAGGGAAGCGGAGCTGGATAAGATCACCTCTCCACAACCTAACAATCACCTCTTTCCAGGCCTTGCGGGTCGGATTTGCTGGCTAACAAGAAGCACTTGGGAAATGTCTTCACAGCACAAGGTCCTAGAATAAAAAACAGCAGGTAAGGTGGAAGCTCAGGCCATGACATCAGACAGACTGGGTTCAAATTCCGGTGCTGCCAATGGTGTGGCCCTGGGAAAGTCACTCTGAATCCACAACAAATTTCTGAGCACCTTCTGAGCTAGCTGCTAGCATATAGGACAGATTTCCAACCCTTATGGCATTTACAGGCACTGAAGAACAGGGATACAGATATTAGGCGGAGAACTACACAAACACTTAAATACAATGAAGTTAATATATACCATAAGGATATAAATCCAGGGACTGCATCTAGTCTATGTAGTCAGGGAATGTCATAAGCAAGTGAATTTTCTTTTTATTTATTTATTTTCAGACAGGGTCTCTGTCTCCCAGGCTGGAGTGCATGGCTCCATCTCCCAGGCTCAGTCAATCCTCCCCCTTCAGCCTCCCTAGTAGGTGGGGCTACAGGTGTGTGCCACCATGCCCAGCTAATTTTTGAATTTTTTTGTAGAGATTTGGCAGGGGGAGGATCTCACTATATTGCCCAGGCTGCTCTCCAACCCCGGG